CCCCCCCCTGGAAAGTTAATCGACTTTTTTGCCCCCCCCCCCTCCCCCCTAGAAAGTTTTCTGCGGGCGCCCATGCATAGTTAAATTATATTTTGGATACTCACCAAGCATCTATTATAGAAAAAGTGTAAATAATGACTCTGTGTAAATAGAGTAGATTTTTAATATTTAATGTTTCACATAATGATATGCTAAATATCTAGATCAGAGGTTCTCAACCTGTGGGTCGCGACACTTGGGGGTTGAACGACCCTTACACAGGGGTCACCTAAGACCATCGGAAAACACACATATATGTCGTAGCAATGAGAATAATTTATGGTTTGGGGGTCACCACAACGTGAGGAACTGTAGGGTCGCAGCATAGGAAGGTTGTGAACCACTGATATAGATGAATTCGGCTCACAAGGTCATTTTCACCATGAGATATGGATATTTGAAGTTTCTCATATAAATGAAACAATTTAAAGCTGTATATTTAAGGTGTGAGTGCGCATTTGAAAAAAATTGATTCTTTGACATAAGGCCTAAATAAATATATTTTATTCCAATAAAAACATATGGGAAATACATTTTTTCAGATATGTGAAGACCAAACATTTTCTGAGCAGATGAGATGTGATTGTTGCTTAAATAATGTATCAACTGTTTGAATTTGTAAGACTCTTATCAGTGAGATCTAATCACCAAAACAAGCCAAGTCATGGAAAAGTTGATATCATGCGCATTGCATGGAAAGAAGAAGGAGAAGTTAGTTTTCTAGCATTGTTATGCTCTAATGGTAAATGACCTGTTAAAAAGCAAAATAATTAGGTTTCTTGATTTTTTTCAAATAAACATTTTTGACATAATTTCACTTATTGTGTTTAAGTAATTGGAATAGAAGTTCTGAACCCTAATTAGGACACACACAAAAAGGAAATAAACTAAAAAACTTTTACAACCTTGCTGGTTCACTGTTAAGTAATTCAAATTTTCAGTCTTGAGATGATAAAAGTTATTTTCTTTTTTGTGTATGAGATTATGAGTGAAATTTTCCTACTAGGAAACTAATAAAAATATTTCTCAAACCTAACTTTGAACATACCTTAAGGTTGAATTCAAAAATATTGAAACTTTCATTTTATTATCACATCTAAGAAGACTTCTCTGAACTATGATCTGAAAAATCATCAGCTTAAGCCATACCATGATTTATTTTGTAAAACTAATATTGCCCTTTTCAACAATACTGGCAGAAATTACTTTCTTACCCAGCAGCTTATTTGTTTTGAAATGGCTAACACATTAAAAATCTTTTTTTTCAGATCATTTATTGTTGCGGTATGATGTGTCAGGTCGTTCTCCGATTATAAAACAATTACCATGGTTGCCTGAAAA